CGGTCAAACCTTCTCAGGGTTTACCGCTGCCTCCCAAGACTTCTATGCAACCTTTTCTGAAAAGACACTTTAGAAGCAATTACGTCATTTTTGAATGGCTCTGCTGACGGCATTGACGGAATTACGCCTCAACATCTTAAATATCTTGTAAGCGCTTCTGCCGGTGACGCCGGCGGAGTACTTCTTAATGACATTACAAAATTATGTAACTTTATGCTTTCTGGTAATGTTAACCCAAATTTCATTGCATTCTTATATGGGGCAAGATTACGTGCCTTCAATAAAAGGATAACGGTATCCTTCCTATTGCCGTTGGTTCCACATTTTGACGCTTAACTTCAAAATTAGCTTGCAGGCACATAATCTCTAACCTTAAGACCAAATTTCAGCCTACTCAACTAGGCTTTGGCACTAGAGGTGGCTGTTAGGCGGCGGTACATTCAGTGCGTACATTTTTAACAAACTCTGATGCAGATGTTCTTGTGAAGGTTGACCTAATGAATGCTTTTAACTCTATCGATAGGGTAACCTTGCTGAAAGAAGTAGCTAACAATATGCCCACAATTTATCATTACGTTTAGAAATGTTATAGTCAAAATACTAACTTGTTTTACGAAAACCATATTATCAATTATTCTGTCGGTGTTCAGCAAGGGTAACCCACTAGGTCCAGCACTTTTCAGTTTGGGAATTCTACCCATAATTACAAATTTAACATCCAAGCTGAATCTCTGGTACCTGGACGACGATACACTGGGAGGTAGAGCAGATGACGTCCTCAGTGATCTTACTCATATTTTTCGAAATTTTAAAAATATTGGTCTTGAACCAAATAGCAATAACTGTGAATTTTTTTTCAAAAATTTATCTACTTCTCATAGAGATACTTTAATTCAAAATTTCAATCATGTTTCTCCAGGAATAAAAACTGTCAGTACGGAATCACTATACCTGCTAGGTGCCCCGTTATTTTTCGATAGTATTAAACATGTTTTAAAAAGAAAATTTGATCAGTTTTTAAACCACGTTAATAAATTGTATAAATTAAACCGCTCGAGTCCAGTCTGGAAATGTTCGGATATTTTAAAAGATATTGATAATAATCTTAAAATAGCTATAGAAAAAATTCTAAATTTAACTTTAAATACAACAACCTGGAGTCAAGTACTTTACCTATAAAATTTTGTGGTATTGGGGGGATGAGTCGCTCGCGTCCGTAGGCTTCGACCATCTAATCCAAGGCCCACCCCTACACGTGTCCCCCGGGTGGTGCTAAACGAGCGACAAAGCCGAAACGACAGACTCAGCTCCTCGCCGTATGGTAGCGGCGTAAAATCTACCACCCCTTAGTTCGCACCATGAGCCAAGAAGAAAAAGAAATGGCCCCGAGTTCCCGGCGCCCCTTTAATGGGGCAGGGGTGCGAAGAATCTCCGGGAGAAAAACCGGCGACGAGGTTCGCCACCCGTCACGTCCTGTCTCCCGGGGGAGCGAAAAGTGGATTGCGGAGGCCCGTCTGGCTACGCTGAATGTATGTGGAGCAATGAATGATAAGATGGATGAAGTATGCGAAATGATGAATGATAGAGGAATAGATGTGTTATGTGTGAACGAGACGAAACGAAAGGGAAGAGATGTCACTGCACATGGCATGTATACTGCATGCCAGGGAGTCAGTGTCATTCTTTCAGAAAGAATGGGTCAATGTGTGAAAGAGTATGAATGTGTTAGCCCAAGGCTGCTGTGGATACGAATGAAAGTGGGCTTAAAGAAGTTGTTTGTGCTAGAGGTGTACGCCCCAGATATGTCTAAGCCCACTTATATCCGAGAGCAGTTTTGGGACATGGTAAGGATGGTCTTGATGAAATGTAAGGAAAATGAAAATATTATTATGTTAGGAGATTTTAATGGAAGGGTTGGGGTGAAGAGGTCTGGTTATGAAAGGATAAATGAGAATGGTGAAGACCTCCTCACCGTATGTGTGGAAAAGAATCTTTTTGTGGCGAACTCTTTCTTTCGCCATAAGAGGATTCACATGTATACATGGGAAAGAGGGGATGATAGAAGCATGATAGATTTCATAATTGTGGATGAAAGAATGAGGAGCGCAGTGGTAGATACAAGGGTTTACCGGGGATCCAACGTAGGAACGGATCATTACTTGGTCTTATGCCGAATTAATGGTCTATTCAGACGTTGGCGGCATCGGACATCGGTGTCTACCACTGCGTTACAGCGTATAAGAATAGAGAGGTTACAAGATGAAGGTGTGAAAGAGAAGTATAAATGCAGACTGAGGGAAAACATAAGTGGGTTGAATGAATTATGTATGAATGATTTAGAATTGAAGAATGTATGAAATAATATTAAGAAAGTTTTGGTGGATGCAGCCACCGAAGTATGTGGTGTAAGTAAGAGAACGAATGAAAGGAAAAGTAATACGTTGTGGTGGGATGATGAGGTACGGATGGAAGTTGAAGCAAAGAAGAGAGCATGGCTAGATTTACTAGCAACTAAAGCTGGTAATTCTGGCGGTATGAATGATGAGATTGAAAGAAAAAAGGCAGACTTTAGACGTATAAATAAGAGAGTAAAAGAAGTTGTTGAAAGGAAAAAGCAAGAAAGAATAGATAAAAATGATAGAAGGATATCTGATAACTTCCAGGAAAATATTAAAATGTTCTGGAAGCTCGTAAGAACTGCCAGGGGAAATTCAAAACAGCCTAGAATGAATGCTATACGAGACGAGAATGGCTGCATGCTGAATGATGAAGTTTCGAATTTAAAGAGATGGAAGGAATACTTTGAAAGCGTGTTTAAGAGTGAAGAGTCGTCTGAAATAAGTTCATATCGTGTGGGCAGTTGAAGATAAAACATCATATCGTGTGGGCAGTTGAAGATAAAACATCGTTTGAATTTTGTGGCTATTTAAAATTCAAAATATCTGTTTATAGTACGAAACATTGCGACTAGTACATATGTGTGTGAACCTTATATGACGGTGATTGTGTCTGTGTAATCACTACAATAAAACATCAAGAAATTGTGGAGTAAGAAACATTTTAATATTTATAAAATCTTATATTTTCAATCTCTTGGACCTACCCCCAACTCGCAATTCGCTCGCTGTGACGTAGTACGGCAATATTTACTTGCTAATCTTTTAGCGCCTGGATAAAATAATTAGCACATACTAGTTAACAAACTTTTTCTAGTAAATTTTAAAAGTTGTTTTTTGGATTATTCTATTGCACCTAAAATGGATAAACAATTCTGTGGAGCTTGCAGAGCATTAATATCTGATAAAAGATACATGACCTGCCTTGGTTGTAAACAGAAGTATGACCTTCAATGCGCTAATATCTCACCACAGCGGTATAGAGCGTTAAATGATGAGAATAAGCGTAATTGGAGATGCCTGGAATATAAAAGTAAAATACCTAAGAAGGATAACACAAACACACCTATACGCCCATCGCACCAGACAGAGTCGGCAGTTCTCGATAACGCAGATAACTTGAATGTAACGTTGCGTAAAAAATCTGATTTAGCATTTGACTACATAACGGAAAAAAAGTTGAAGGATGTCTTGGAGGCTGAAAGACAAGAATTAAGAATTGTTATTCAATCAAGCCTGAAGGAATTATCAGATCAGTTAACCACAATAAAAAACCAGTGTTCCGGATATCAGGAGTCTTCAATGTTTATTAGTGGGCAATATGAGGATTTTCGCAAAGAGCTCGTAGAACTAAAAAAGCTGCTTGCAACGACCACTTCTGAATTGAAATGTATAAGAGAAGAAAATAAAAGTCTAAAAAATAGTGTTACTGCACAAGCTGCAAGGATCAAAGCATTGGAAGACGAAAACTTGAGACAACAACAGTGGACACGAATGCAGAATATAGAGATAACAGGGATTCCTGAGAATAAGGCCGAAGATACTAAACAAATAGTATTGAAACTCTCGCAGCATATTGGGGCTCCTATTCAGCAGACTGATATCGATTTCGCACACCGGGTCCAACCTCGGCGCGCTGTGAGTGCTGCCCGCGCACGCCCCATTGTTGTGCATCTAAGACAACGTGCCGTCAAAGACAAACTTATAGCAGCGGGTCGCAAGTATCGTACTCTGAATGCTAAGGATTTGGGAATGGGTGATGAGACTAACAGAGTTTATATCAATGAGCACCTTACAAAAGAAAATAAAATTCTTTTAAATACATGCAAACAAAAAGCCAAGGAGATAAATTATAAATTTGTCTGGACAAAAAACTGCCGTATCTTCGTTCGAAAGGACGAGGCCTCACCCCCTATTCCAATATCCTCATCAACCGATATATCCAAAATAATGTAAAACACTGTTTGATATTTAATAATTACTCACCTTTCAATGTATGCAATAATCCTCCCTTACACTTACATAAAATATTTTTACACTTCTCTACACCCAACTCTATTTACACACTTATTGATTATGCAGTGCAAGAGTACCTCACAAGTATATCCTTTCCATGTGAACTACACTCCTATTTTAGACCGAAGCAAATTCTCGTAGTGCCACATTTAAATGCTATTAAAAACTACGGCTTAACTTATAGTTATACATTGACCATTAAGGTTTGCGAATATTTATCTATATTAATTAATAACTATGTCTTAAAAATAATAGTTTATTTTTCCTTTAAATATTTAACATTTTATAGAGTGTACGTTTATCGATTTCACCACTACTACCCTGTCAGAAATGGATGAAAATAGTAAAAATAGTAACAACCTTACATTGCTTTATCAAAACGTTAGAGGGCTACGAACAAAGACTAATACGTTTTATAATAATCTGTTACTGTCTGAGATCGATGTAGTTATGATTTCTGAAACATGGTTATATGATGGTATTTTGGACGCAGAACTGAGTGACGATAATTATAAAATTTTTCGTAGAGATCGAGGATCATTAGGAGGTGGTGTAATGTTACTTTGTAAATCAAAGCTACACGCGCGCATGAGACCAGAATGGAATAATACTGATCTGGAATGCATTTGGATTACCATTCCAGGAAGTAACATAGGCTCTTCGTATGACATACACATTTCGGTAGTTTATATACCACCTAATCATCAAATATCTTCGCGCATAAAGGATCTCATTAACACACTGTTAGCTGTTCGTGATAAATACCCAAATGACTATATAATTGTTTCAGGAGATTTTAATTTACCATGTATTGACTGGAGTTCTGGAGACCCAGTTATACGTAGGAAAGGATCAGTCGAAGTTCAAACTGCAGCATCTGATCTTATATCTTGTTGTTCTTTCATAGGACTTTCTCAATACAATACACTCTTAAACAGTAGCAAGAATACTCTAGACTTAATCTTTTCATCTTTCCCAATAAAAGTTCAAAAATCTGAATTTGTGCTTGTTATAGAAGATGTATATCATCCAGCTCTGTACATATCTGCGACGGACATCTTAGTACCTTCACGTAGGCCTTCTTTAAGGACTAAATATCAATTTAAGCGAGCAGACTACCGTAGTATGAATGATTTACTTTTGAAACAAGACTGGGCTTTTATCACAAGGGAAACAAGTTTAGATCGTGTTACTGATAAATTTTACAGTATAATAAATGAATTAATTGAAAAATTCGTTCCTAAAATCCGATGTAGTAGTAATTATTCTTATCCAATATGGTACAGCAGAGCACTAATTAACCTTATAAAAGAAAAGAGTAAATTGCACTCTAGTTGGAAGAAGCATAAAAATCCGATTGATTACGCAGACTTTTCGGAGCTGAGAAAACGACAAAAGATACTACAGCAACAATGTTATAAACTGTACCTAGCACGCACTCAAGAGAATATTAAACATAACCCCAAAGCTTTCTGGAGTTATGTAAAGTCTAAGCGTAAATACAATTCTGATTATCCTCAAGAAATGACATACGGAGACACTAAATTGAATAACCCAATAGCAATCTGCTCGTCATTTAACGATTTTTTTAAAAGTAATTTTACTAAATCTATAGACAATAATTTGACTATACGATCCGATAATTTAAATTTAAATGTAATCCATGATATTGAAATAAATCCAGAGAAAGTTAAGAATTTAATTTGTAAGCTTGACATTACGAAAGGTGCCGGTAGCGATAAATTGCCTCCTGTATTATTTGTAAAATGTGCAAAATCCTTATCTGTTCCTATAGCACTATTATTCAATAGGTGTCTTCGCGATGGCTACTTTCCAAGTATTTGGAAGGAAGCTCATGTTGTACCTATAGACAAGAAGGAGCTGAAGACAATAATTGAGAATTACCGGCCAATATCAATACTCAATGTGTTAAGTAAATTGCTAGAAAGAATCGTTCATATGCACATATACCCCATCATATTACCTTCAATACCCCCAGAACAACATGGCTTTGTGAAAGGGCGCTCTACAGCAACTAACTTGGGCGCATTTATTGATTATACTACCACAAATATGGATGGAGGGTCGCAAGTAGATGTCATTTACACTGACTTTGAGAAAGCCTTTGATCGCGTAGATCACATCATATTACTACGTAAGCTTTTTGAGCTGGGCATACGAGGTAACCTTTTCAGGTGGATGGAATCATATCTGCGGAAACGATCTCAGGCAGTAGTCTTAGGAGGGTTCCGTTCTGACTTCGTGGAAATAACATCCGGAGTTCCACAAGGTTCTATTTTGGGTCCTCTACTGTACGTGTGCTATCTATATGATGTGGGTAAGTGTTTTCATAATGCTAAGTTTCTGATGTACGCTGATGACACTAAAATATATATGAAAATCACTGATTATGTAGATTGCATGAAACTTCAAGATGATCTTGTGCGACTTGGTAGCTATTATGTGGTAAATCGTATAGGAGTTAATGTCAGCAAGTGTCTTTACGTTTCTTTCACAAGGAAAAGAGAACCTACAAAATTCAACTACCAAATAAATCACCTTAATATAACTAAGAAAGAATTAGTGAAGGATCTGGGGATATTACTGGATTGCAAGTTAAGCTTCTCAGAACATATTGAAACAATTACGCACTCGGCCTACAAAAGCCTTGGCTTCATCCTACGCGTAAGCAGACCTTTTACTGATATTAACTGTATTAAATTACTTTATTTTTCATATGTTAGAAGCGTCCTTGAATATTGTAGTACTGTATGGAACCCGTATTACACTGTTCATATAAATAACCTAGAACAAATTCAGCACAAATTCATGAGACATTTAAAGTATAGAAATTTTATTTACACTAATAACTATGAAGAGTCTTGTAAATATTTCAATATAATAAGCCTTGAGGATAGACGTACTCTAATGGACATGGCATTTTTGCATGGTTTATGTAATGGAAGTATTGACTGTGTAACTTTAGCTGATAGAGTTCTCTGCTTTTGTACTCCGAAACGTAGAACGAGACATACACCTTTGTTTGCGGTTGTTAAGACAAAGACAAACTATGCACAAAACTCTCTGGTGAATCGTTTACAAACAGTTTATAATAAAAGATTCCACTCAGTTGATATTTTCCATTTCAGTAAGGATAGGTTTAAAAAGGATGTCTTGAAACTTCTGATGCAGTGAGGTTAGGTAACTCATTAACTCATACACACACACACACACACACACACACACACACACACACACACACACACACACACACACACACACACACACACACACACACACACACACACACACACACACACACACACACACACACACACACACACACGCCCGCATGCGAGGGAGGAGCATACGAGCATTATTTATGTTGAATTTTTTTTGATTTTTCTTGTAATGTTTTCTAGATGTTTAAAAATATATATTTTTAGTCCCAACTACTTTGTCTTCAACATGTCCTTTATAAATTGAAAATACTATTTAAATAATGTAAATCCGTTTTTGGCTATAATTTAAGATCATAAGATGTACGTACGATGTAACAAAGAGCTGTGGATTTTGTTTGAAATAAAATAAAATAAAAAAAATAAGTGAAATAGAAATTCCGGAAGAAGTGGAGAGAGGTAGGGAGATAAGTGTAGATGAAATAATGAAAGCAATGAAAAGCATGAAAGCAGGTAAGGCAGCCGGATATGATAGAGTATCACTCGAAATGCTAAGGGCTGGTGAGGGTGTGGTTGCAGGCCTGCTGTACACCTTGTTTAATTTATGTTGGGAACTGAAGCGGGTACCGGAAGACTGGTGCAAAGCTGTTATAGTCCCAATATATAAGGGAAAGGGGTCGCAGCAGGACTGTAAAAACTACCGTGGTATCAGCTTGCTTAGCATTGTGGGTAAACTGTATGCTAAGGTGTTAATTGAAAGAGTTATGGAAGAAACTGATGGAAATATTTGGGATGTGCAAGCTGGATTTAGAAAGGGGATGGGGTGTACGGATCAAGTATTTTCCATGCGCATGATAGCGGAGAAGTTTTTGGCCAAAAACCAGAAAGTTTTTTGTGCGTTCATGGACCTGGAAAAGGCTTATGACAGAGTGGACAGGAATGTGTTATGGCAAACACTGAACTCATTTGGGTTGAGCGCTGGCTTGATACAGGCATTAAGGTCTCTTTATAGGGACTCTAGTGCTTGTGTCAGGATCAACGGGGTCTACTCGGACTGGTTTGGCATTCATAAAGGTGTGGCTGCCCCGTGGCTGTTTAACCTATTTATGGACAGTTGACAACATGAAAGTTGAAGAATGTGGGTTGAGAATGGGTAAGTCAACCGTCAAATGCCTTTTGTACGCCGATGATCAAGTCATATCTGCATCGTCGGCGGCCGAGTTGCAAATGATGGTTACTTTAATGAATTGGTCATTGAAAGAAAGGGGTATGAAAGTGAACGCAAGTAAGACGAAAGTGATGGTTTTTGAAAGAGAAGAAAGTAAAACTTTATGTGAAATAAGAATAGAAGGGGAGTTGATTGAGCAAGTGGATGAGTTTGTATATTTGGGATGTTTATTTAGCAAGGATGGTAGATATGATAAGGATATAGAACGACGAGTGAACGCAGGAAATGGAGTGAATGGGGCTCTACACGCTATTATGAGGAGTCAGAATGTGTCAACTAAGGCACGTATGGCAATTCATAATACTGTGTTAGTCCCTACTTTAATGTATGGTAGTGAAAGTTGGGTCTGGCAGAAGAAGCATGAGAGTAGAATAAATGCTGTAGAAATGCGTTCCTTAAGGAGTATGCTAGGGCTGAATCTGAATGACAAGGTGAGAAATAGTGTAATAAGAGAAAAGTGTGGTTTGCAAGATGACGTTGTGACAAGGATTAAGAATGAAATGCTTCGGTGGTTTGGTCATGTAGAAAGAATGAACGAGGAAAGAGTGACAAAGCAAATTTATGTTGCAGAAGTGAACGGCAGGGTCGGGAAGGGACGCCCTAGACGTAGGTTTATCGACCAAATCGGCGATACATTAAAAATGGGCCAGATTAGGAGTACCCTTAACCGACGAGCGTGTATGCGTAGATATATGGATGTAAAAGAGGCGAGAGAGGTGTGTCAGCATCGCGCCAAATGGAAGACCGTAGTCTCTGCCTACCCCTCTGGGTGACAGGCGTGAGTGTTTATGTTATGTGGTGTGAGAAATCTTTCTAGCGTTGGATTGCCTGCTTTCCTTGCTTCCGTGCATAGAGTCAATGACTTATGTAACATAATTTTAAATAATAAAGTAGACCTGTGCTTTGCTACGGAGGCAGGGCAGACATGGCAAACGCTCTGTCCCGATGAAAATATTCCACTGGAAGTTAACCAACAAAAACAGTGGGATATTCCGTTGGTACAAGGCGTGCAGAAAGATTTGTTTCATAATTTCCATAGGGACCAAGATAAGGCACGTTTGTTTCGACTAAAGAATCTAGTCATTGGTTACACGCTTTACCATCAAGTAATCTCGGCATATTACTTGATGGGGAAATATTGCGCATTGCCGTAGGAATCCGACTAGGAGCGGCGATTTGTCAACCCCATCAGTGCCCCTGTGGTAGCAGCGTCGACAAGTTTGGGCTCAACGGACTTTCATGTAAGAAAAGTGCTAGTAGGTTTTCACGACACAGCTCTTTGAACGATGTCATCCGAAGGGCTCTTGTCACTATAAATGTTTCCTCGGTTTTAGAGCCTTGTGGAATATTTAGAGCCGATAGCAGGAGACCCAACGGTATGACATTGGTCCCTTGGGAGAAAGGTAAAGCCCTAGTGTAGGATGCTACTTGCCTAGACACTCTGGCGGCCTCTCATCTCAGGGGTACCTCGTTTAGACCCTGGGTGGCATCAGAGGCAGCTATACTGAGTAAGTGGCGCAAATATGAGTCTCTGAGAGATGACTAAATATTTGTGCTATTTGCTGTAGAGATTATCGGTCCGTTGGGTCCACGTGCGGTGAAGTTCCTAAAGGAACTCCATCCGCGGCTGGTCGTTGCTGCTGGTGATAAGAGGGCTGGTTCTTTTCTCGCTCAAAGGTTAAGAATAGCCATTCAGCGGGGAAACGGGCTGCGTTTCACACTTCGTTCGGGCGTTCTTGGCACGATACGGCAGGGAGTAGGACTATACGATTAGGGCTCGGATAACGGTATATTTTTCGAAACGTTTTCGCCTTAAATACCTAAAAAGTTATTTGTTTCGTTTAAGTTCGAACGGAATCATAATAATGACGTTTATGAAGAGAACGTTCTTGTTTAAAAAAACGTGTTTAACCATTTTAAACCGTTTTTTCCAATTTTTGGCCCTGCAATACGAAACAAAAATACTTATAGGTTTAAACTTGTCGTAGTACGTGCTATTCATTTAGCTTCCTGCGGAATAAACCGTTTTTTACGTTTTCACATTACGTTCTCATTTCGTTTTTGTTCCGAACTAAATGTCATACAGGGAACCGGCCCAAACGTTTTAAGAACGTTATTTTTAATAACATTTCCGAGCCCTGTATACGATAATGAAGTTTCTAGTTTTAGTTTTTTTATTATTATTATATTTTTAAATATTGTATAATAATTAAGTTATTATAGTTTTTTAATAATGTATATATTAATTAGTTAATTATTAAATCAATAATGTTATAACTACATCAGAAGTATTAACTGAAATCGCTCTTACTACTGGTGTACTTTTTTATTATACGAGTATAAGTGGGAAATATAGGTGACAAAGTTATTGGTCCGCGTTTTCTTGACTACACAATGAGCGGTGAAAACTACGGACACTTTTTGCGAGAACTAAGCGATGAACTTGATGAAATAAATCTAGACCTCGTGCGTCGTATGTGGTTCCAACACGATGGCGCACCTCCGCATTTCTCCTGTTGTGTAAGTATTTTTTTTTGACACCGAATTCGGTGAAAGATGGATTGGCCGTGGTAGACCGTTCAACTAGCCAAATTATAAAATAATCGAAATGGAGATTTGGAAAGAAATTTCGTTACATGAATTATAAACCCTAAGATTCTGAAACTTTTTGCGTAATATACTCATAATATACTCATAATACCATTTAACAGTGGTAGAGCCACGCGGCAGCACTTGCTGTCGCACGGATGGGCCGGCTCGAACCGGGCTGGTACCACGACTTCACAGAATACCAGCGTGAAGTAGAGGTTTACCTCTGCGTTGCGCTTGGTGAGTGCAGGTGGCCGGAGGCCCAATTCCCCCCCCCCCCCCATCAACGTGAAAGACTATCCCAGGAGGGTACCAGCACCCCTGGAGAATCCATCGCTGAGCATCCGCGACCAAAGTAATCCACTCCTGAGCGTGGGTGCTCAGGCTGCCCCGCGTATTCTGCGGGGGGTAAACTTCCGCTCGCGACTAATACTGCTCGGGGCAAGCGGAGCAACTAGACTAAGGCGACCTCTGTCACGCTATCCGTGAATTTTTGCAAGATCAGGGGACTTCATCCCAACCTTAACGCTGTCCATTACAGCCTGTCTTCTGTCAGCCATCTCTTCCATCTCTGCACAGAGAGGACGACTCACTGGCCCATGCCGCAAAGGAGAAAGCCGATCTTATAAGCTCTCTCTTTGCATCCAATTCGACTCTAGATGACGGGGGGATACACCGCCGACCATCCAGCGGTGTGAGTGCTCTATGCCGGATGTGCGATTTACACAGAATTCGGTTCGTAAAGCACTCTTCTCCCTGGACGTCAGCAAGTCGAGTGCGCCTAATCGAGGATCCCATTGTGCTGAAGACGTGTGCTCCGGAGTTGGCACCGGTTTTAACGCGTCTTTTCCGGTACTCCTACTCCCAAGGTGTAGTCCCGAATTCATGGAAGACAGCTTTGGTCCACCCGATCCCTAAAAAAGGCGACCGCTCAAACCCGTCCAACTACAGGCCTATCGCCATAATCTCCTTGTTCTCAAAAATAATGGAATCCATTATAAACTGCCAGCCCATGAGGTACCTTGAGGATCACCAGCTGATTAGTGACCGCCAGTACGGTTTTCGTCAGGGTCGATCAGCTGGTGATCTTCTAGTCTACTTAACTCATAGATGGGCGGAGGCAGTAGAGTCCAAGGGGGAGGCAGTGGCCGTTAGTTTGGACGTAGCGAAGGCATTCGATTGGGTTTGGCACAAAGCGCTTCTTTCGAAGCTCCCTTCCTATGGGCATCCCGAGAAATTGTGTAATTGGATCACCAGTTTCCTTACTGATCGAAGCATCAAGGTGACGCTGGTGTTCCACAAGGCTGCATGCTATCACCAACGCTGTTTTTTTTGCATATCAATGATATGTTGCAAGCTGGTAACATTCACTGCTATGCAGACGACAGCACTGGTGATGCCTTATAGTTACAGTGAGACAGTATTCCATGCCGACACATCGCTTGCAACTTTACAAAGCGCAAATCCGGCCTCACATGGAATACTGTTCTCATCTCTGGGCCGGCGCACCCCAGTACCAGCTCCTTCCACTTGACCGCATCCAGCGCAGAGCGGTTCGAATTGTCGGCGACCGAGTTCTTTCTGATCGGCTCGATACACTGGCACTGCGTAGAGATGTTGCGTCTCTTTGCGTATTTTATCGCATTTACCACGGGGAGTGCTCTGAGGAATTGTTCGGACTAATTCCAGCCGCTCAGTTTCACCATCGCACATCGGGCGGCGGTAGTCACTTACCATCATGTGAGCCGCATGCTCGTTCGTCCCCTCTCTTATAAAAAAAATTAATAACGTACGGAACGAAAATTTTGAATCGAAATGTACGCCAAAATCCTTAATAATCTCTTTGCGTGTCAGCTCTGACACGCAAGGAGATTGTTAAGGATTATACTTAAAATCTAGGTGATTGTGTTGTGTAGAGAAGGTGATAACTAAGCACTTATTGATATCTAAGGACATAAAATTAACAGAACACCAATCGTGAACTGCATCTGTCTTTTTGTAATGCAATGCATGCATTCACGTCACTTATCACGCGATATATTTTCATATCGTCAGTTTAAAGAAGCCAGTGACTCTGGATTACGCCAAGCAAATCATTTATAAAACATAATAAAAACCAACGGCCCTAAATGGGATCCTTGGGGAACACTAGACATAAGCATTATAAGCGGGTGTCGCAAATGTATAGAGGTACAAAGTGGACATATTGAACAACATCTTCGTGGTCGTGAAGTACACATACTGATGAAGTAGTGTTCGTGCATAATTACCACAATCGGTCGAAGTAAAATTTTAAAAGTTGATGCTCTTTCTATACGCCGTCTTTGATGTGTGACGCCGCTGACCGTTGGTGCTTGCTGTTTCGCTTTAATTTGCTTCATCATTCCATGCGGAGGTAATCAATCCACATAAAATTTAGAAATATTATTTAATTAAATTTTATAATTTAATTAAATAATAAAATTTAATTAAATTGTATACTTGGGGAGTGCTTTTAGCCGGGATGGAAGATGTGATTTAGATGTGGACAGGCGTGTCGCTGCCGGGAACAAAGTCAATGGTGCCCTGACTGCGTTAGTCAAAAGGCAAGACGTAGTGAAGAGTGCACGCCTTGCAATACATAACGCAGTGTTGGTACCGACTTTGTTATATGGCAGCGAAACCTGGGTATGCCAGAAGAAGCATAAAAGCAAGTTGAATGCAGTGGAGATGCGATCTCTTCGTAAAATGTGCGGCGTTACCATGGCCGACCGAAAGCGAAACGAAGAGATTCGCAATATGGCAGGTTTGAAAGATGACCTTATCACAAAAATTGATAAGGGCGTGCTTCGGTGGTTTGGGCACGTTGAGCGAATGAGTGAAGACCGAATGGTGAAGAAAATATATAGCGCGAAAGTTAATATTAAAAGGTGTCGAGGTAGACCGAGACTAACTTTCGAAGACCATGTGAGCAAATTGCTCGAAGAGGGTAGGGTCAAGAGTACTCGGATACCTAGACGTGCATGTACTCGTATGAAGAAGATAATGAATCTGAAAGAAGCGAAAGAGGTATGTAAGGATCGTGACACTTGGCGATCTGTTCTCTCTGGCTACCCCGTCAGGGATTGTGCGTGAAGATAAGTAAGTAAGTAGTAAATTTTAATATGATTATTTTTATGGTCGAGTTTTCTGAAGTAAAGTTATTTCTAGATACGTTTGAATACTGATTATGATAACGCACTTAACGGGAACCACAGGGTTTTTGTTAAGTATATGTGCAATAAAAAGCTGGTGGAAGTGATTTAAGTAGAGTTATGCTTCAGTGTTTCGTTCTCGAGATTAGATAACACAGGTAGTCACACATACAATGTCGCCATCTATGCACTTAGTTTAAAGTAAAAATAAAACAAGACGGTAGATTAATATTACTTCATGGTTGCACTGCGCTCGATTTATCATTCACATTTCAGTGCTCCGCCACTTCGCACGTCTTGCAACTGTGTTAATTTTTGTATAAATTATAGTGCTTAAGTTTTTTATTTTAAATTATAGCCTTTAAATTACTTTAAAGTTAATAAAATACCGAAAAGGAAAAACGACGACTTGGATTCTTTAAATCATATTACGAATAAAAACTTGAAGACAACTGTTAAAAAGCCAACGCTGCAGATCGTTATCGCCCCCGGATTCAGTACATAAGTCAACTGATACTCAAGGTAATTACAATAACGGATATACTTTTTAACGGTTTGAGTTATTACCATCCGATTTTAACAAGGATTAACGTTACAATGCTCGAATTGTAACTTATCCCTATAAAACTCGGGTTCACGATGCAACGCCCATGAGTTCATCTTACCCGCTGTTTTTGTGCGTTTACATACAAATGCATAAATATTTTTTATATTACCTGTTTAGGTATATTACATATAATTACCGATATGTGTTTATTTAAGGTAAATTAAGCTCTAGAAATATTATTTTTGTCCTTACAAACCCAAACAAAGAGAAGTATCTGTATATAAATTTTCTATGCGAAAAATATACATATTACATTAGTTCGGGCAATAATGACTTAATCAACGAATCGGAAAATGTTGAAATGCTAACTGCGGACCTGCGCGAGCTAGGATCGACAACTAGCACATCACAACGGAATTCGCTATTGGCGTTCAATGCACCTGAAGTGATATTCGAACCTCCACAATCAGCGACCGAACAACCACCTCCTACCGAGAAGGAGTCCGCAGTCTAATGATGGTGCTAGAAATTTTAAAAACAGGACCTTCAACAACCGCTATTTTTGGAAAGAACATGCGGAAGGACTTGGCCATTCGCCTCGAATTTATAACAACTTCTGCATCGAAATAGACCAGGTAACTCTATAAAGAGCTCTTAGAATCGCATCTACCTCCAGCTAACTGTAAAATGATAGATGTTCCGTCCTTGTATGCAGAGATAAAGGTTGTGCTGTTTAAGAAGATATAGTGAAGCCAGAAAGCTATACAAGCTAAACAAAAACAAATATGAAGCACTATAGCATGTCTTAGTTAAACATTTACAGTTCTATTGTCTAAAGATACATAAGATCCAACTATATTAAAATTGCTAATATATTATACAGCACGCATCTTGTGTGCACAACATAAGGATTCGGTCACTAGACGTAGTCTTATTCTGACTACACTGAAGAGAGACTGATGCAGCAGACAAAGATAACTTGCTCTTTGGACAAGTGCTTTCAGACATATAACAACTGCTAAAACAATAAATTAATGAGGAGCTGAAGCTGTCACCACTCAAAAAGTCCATGCAAACAAACCAAAAACCTTGCCTTCCAACAAGAATTTAAGCTTAAAAGCCAAAGCCCCGATCTGCAGGTCGACAGGGGCCTACACCTTTGACAAGCCAACAGCAATTACAATCATCGTGAGCGCCACGTCCGGGCAACAGCCGCGGCCGCCGCTAGATGATGAGGTAAATTTTGCCAGCAGGCTATCTCTTTGTTATCACATGCTAACACTGACATCAGATAACATAATAATAATTAAATACCCTTCTCACAAACACCTTATCAGTATGATATTCCAAAACTTAACTGTTCTCCATCAGAAACAAAAGATTTCGATTGGGCAATAGATAGTTCACTGTCTATAGGCGCTGTTTCAAAATGTTGAACCCTGTGATGGTCAGTTCATAACTAAAATATTCTTAGTACCGAAACCATGATAACTGAACGGTAGGACTCGTTTTAGTCTTAATTTAAAAATGTGAACAAATTTTTGTAAACACAAAGCATTTTAAATTGGAAGATCTTAGAACAATGGCAAAACTTGTTTCAAAAAGTTGTTTATGTCAACAATTAACCACAAATACGCATTTTTTCTAATCAAATTGTATTAATTTAAATAATAAAATTCATGACAATTCATGAAAATATTTAAGGTTTATATTGAGGAATATTTTATATGAATTTAATATTCTCCAGTTCGGCATAAATACTGTACCCTACGTATTTACAAAAATAATGAAACTGTTTGTTAAACTCTTACGACGTATTGGTGGCATTGGTAACCTGTCAGTAAGCTACCCAGACTACTTATTGTATATTATATATAACAATCTATGACTTATGTCTTATATCACGCACCTATAACAAATGTGTAAAAAATATTGACGCTATGAAGAAACTTTTTTGTGGCTTAGGTTTCATTATTCATAAAATTAAAAGCTGTATGATTCCTAGTAATATAATTTTGTATTGGAATTTATGATAAATCCCAGATTTTTATGATAAATTCCAATATAATGGAAATCAGTTTACGTTTTATAGAATGTGTAAAATTTAAAGCCAAATTATAAAAAAAATCATAAAAGATTTAGAATCAGGAACTTTGTACGCTCAGTAAGCCTGTTAACGTTCAGCTTGTTCAGCTATTGTATATGCCTGACTTCACACTATGGAGTTCGAAAGGTGCAAATTCCTTAACCTTATAGGAAGTGAAAATCATGGATGACTGGTATAGTCATAAAATTGTCATAATTTTTCGTTAATACCTACATTAGATCTAGATTTTAATTGGTCGATAAAATCCATCGATCAAGTTGTAAATAAATAAAATTTTTATTAATTCAGTCTGAAAATTAATTCTGACGCCTCAACAACGGGATGGGGCGTGGCCTGTATGGGAAAGACTGCAAGCGATATTTCAAGTAACGCTGAACGAAGGCATCACATTAATTATCTAGATTAGATTTAGAGTTAATAGCTGCTTTCATTGGACTTAAATTATATGCCAAAACATTATCCAATAGTCAAATAAAAAAAAAAAGTATAGATAATACAACTGCAATTTCGTACATAAATCGCATGTACGAAAAATGAATGAAAAATGCAATACAGGACATTTACCTAAGGTTGCTAAAAACTATGGCAATGATACGAAGCAAGCATATAATCTTTTTTGTTTCTACTTTATATATCCCATCTGTCGAGAACACTATTACTGACCCCAAATCTAATCACCCTGACATTGAATAGGATTGTCAGATTTTGCTTTGTGTACCAGATATTTACATATTTGCTAGCAGCAAAAAAAAAAAATATATACAAAATATTATGTATCATTGCATAAAGACACTGATGGCTATACTAACGACGCTTTCTTTCCTTTTTTTCTCAATTGTTCTTAAAACATTAAGAAAAATTACTATTAGCGTTAAAGCTAGAGGTATATTGATAGTACCGACATGGCTATCACAGCCTAGGTATTCCCTGTTTAATCGGCTCCTGGAGTCGACTTTGTTCATTGATTTTTAATTCTGTTAAGGAACTAATTGTTTCTTATTCCAGCAACTACCCGATAATGGGCGTATTACCCTGGGTGCCGGAATTCAATGCGGGCTTTTTTATTAAAAAGAAACATTCCCTGCACATCTATTCCGATCATATTGGTTTCCCTTTCGCCCATCTCTATGAAATATTATGATACATGTCTGAAAAAATGGTATAATTTTTGCAAGAATAACATGTATCAGGCATCAATACCAATTATTGGTTATTTCTTAATGAGTCTATCAATCTAGAGCCCAAACTAGCGAGGATGACCATAAACAAAAAAAAAATTTAAGGTTTATTTATGTAGGCTTTACCCAAATATGATTCAACTTTGGGACACCTCATTATTAATAGAAATTCTCGCTAGCTGGGTGCCGAATTAGAATCTATCTTTTGAGAAAATATCTATATTAAAAAAAAAAACTAGTTGCCTTCTTGCACTAATAACGGCGCACAGGACCCAAACCCTATTAAAAATAAATATTCAAAATATAAGAATTTCACTTGATGAACTTTCTACTAATGTTCCCGATTTGACAAAAACATCTCGTGTTAATTCTAATCAGCCAACCCTTGTTCATCCATACTTTAGACACACTACACTAGTACAAAGGAGCCCCATAATACGGTTTCTGTTTAAACGCTAAGTAGATGGATAAAGAGTTGGAGGTTAGCGGGGTTGATGTTACTACATTCTGTGCGCATAGCACTAGGCACACCAGCACGGCTGGAGCCCATAGACTAGCTGTCAACTTAAATATAATAAGGAAAACTGCCGGCTGGACGGGTGCCTCCACAACTCTTGCGAAGTTCTTTAATAGTTCTATAATGGATAATATCAACTGATACCTACTGAACACTGAGACATAGTTTCGCTAAGAGTTTACTAATTAATGTTAATTAAATATGTATCGTTAATCACGATAATCGTATGTCATAGCAGTGTATTTTTTGTGTAGTTTTGCAGTGTATTTTTATAGTGATTATAATTAAAATTATTTTATTCATGAAATATTGAATTATTTCCCATTGTAAATAATTTCTGTTGGGATATTTCACAATTAACTCTCAACATCTACCTGTGTTATCTAATCTCGAGAACGAAACACTGAAGCATAATTAATGATTAAACGAACTTACCTGTAAGTGAAGTTCTATCATAATTATGTGAGGTGTTTCGTTCGAAGAGATTAGCATCCCTCCCGCCCTGTTTATTTTTAACCCTCATATTGTGAAATATCATGTCGTTTCTCTACTCTGAACTAAATGATAAATCGAGCGCAGTGCAACCATGAAGTAATATTAATCTACTGTCTTGTTTTATTTTTACTTTAAACTAAGTGCATAGATGGCGACATTGTATGTGTGACTACCTGTGTTATCTAATCTCTTCGAACGAAACACCTCACATAATTATGATAGAACTTCACTTACAGGTAAGTTCGTTTAATCATTAATAAATCGCGATTTTTTGATTTGATGACAACGGAACACTACATCTCCGCTTCGCGTTCTATGTGCAACAAAACAAGCATACAGCGACCATTAAAAAATCGTCCATTCTGTGAGCAATCTTAGCGATAAATGTGTATGCAAATATTTGAAAACAAATGTGGCAGGCGCTTTAGGGTTCCCAATTGCGCATACAAAATTTATTCAAATGTTTTGAAGATGTTTTTTCAAGTGTCTGGCGCTGGGTTCAGAGATGCAAAAAAGCAACAGCAAAAACCTAATAATTTTAATAAACAATGTCATCAAAATTGAATACTTCAAAGCTAATTTATAATTATAATTATAAAATATTTTTAAGAAAATTATTTTCTTTATATGACTAGTCTCAGTCTGATTCTTACTAGATTGGCGCATTTTCCTTAATAAGAAATAAATGTATGAAACGGGTGCTTCTTCTTCTTCTTCTTCATTAGTCCGTAAAATTCCACTTCTAGACATGGACCCCTTCCGGTAAAGGAAGGTGCTTGATGGATTAACGATCGCAGAGGCAGACGTTTCGCAAAGGTTTTTGCTTTTTTCTTAATACTAGTAATGCTATAAACTATATATATATATATATATATATATATATATATATATATATATATATATATATATATATATATATATATATATATATATATATATATATATTACTAATATTCCCTATAACCACTTCTGGTAAGCTTAAAATGCTTGTGTTAGAAGTAGTTCACGACAGTAGTCGAATGGCGGTTTCGAACATACGACGTTTTGAGTTCGCAGTCCGCGCCCTGCCATTAGGCTACTCACGCTAAAAATGCTGCTAATTAAATACTGTAGTATAATTCTTGGGAGTTCTAATTCTTCTCTTGTCAGAGAGTCGAGTAGTATATTTCTTGCTGCTTTAAATCACCGGTCTGAGTATTTTACGTAATTATACACTA